AGACCCCCCTTCACATCTGTTTCCATAAACTACCTGCACTCCTTACGGTCCTACAACCTTGCGATAATAGTGGTGCTTGTGGTGATCGCACGGATGGCACCGTGCAGAACTCCATGTAATCGTAGTGAATCACCAGCACACACAATTCTTCATTGATGCATTTATAAAAGAATGTCACATCATGTCATCAGAGGCTAATGTTTCGGGACCACACAGGGACCGTTCATCAGAGCGACATACTGACCCTTCACATTTGGCACTCCCTTCCCACCAGAAGCCCCCTTTCACATCTGATGCCCCCTTCACATCAGGAGCCCCCTTTCACATCTGGAGCTTCTGATAAAGGTAGGACTCTGATGTTAAAGATGCTCTTATTGTGAATAAGGCTCCTGATGGGAAGGAGAAGTCTAAGGAGATCAAGGTCACCCCTTCACATCTTGCACCTACTGCTCACCTCTGGAGACCCCCCTACCACTTTCACATGAGTAGCCCCTTAACATCAGATCCTCACCCCTTCACATCAGGAGTCAGTCCCTTGGGTCCCCCTCAGATCAGAGTCCACTAGTCCACTGCTGTCACTAAGCTGCAGCCTGATTGATAATGATCATGTATCCTATCCCCTCTGAGAAGCGTGGCAAGCTGGCTGTAAAATTAGGAGTAGGGTGCTGAATGGGTAGAAGAACACTTGAGCAGGCCTGAGCTGAGTCTCTCCAGTGGTGGACCTCTGTTACAGAGGTTTTGCCCTCTACCTGAGCAAGTGAACTTAGGCAAGTGGCTTGATGTGGTGATGTCACTCGAGGCCACCATCATCCAACATTAACCCTTAATGTTAAGGGTTAACTGCTGATTTTGGTCTAGGGTCTAAAATAAAAAAGATATACTCACCCAATCCTCGGTACCGCAGGCTCTTCTCCCATGGCCTCCGGAGGTCTAAGGACCTTTGACATCATCACATTCATTCACTTGTACTTGCCGTGAGGATGCCGAGGGACATTCCACAGCCGGAGGGGTCACTGCCGCAGGACCAAGGATCAGGTGAGTATATCTTTTTTATTGTATTCCCTAGACCAAAACTAGCACCTAAAGAACTCCAGGAATGTTTTATTAACCCTTGCATTGGGCCTACCCTCGCACTGCAAAGGTTAACTGCTTGTTTGTGTTATACCCAAAGTTCCGATTTGGCTTCTTCTCGGTCCGGTCCCTGCAATGTCTCTCCCCCTCCTTTGCAGCGGTCTAAGGTCCAGTAAATCATCACCTCTATCATCCATCCAGCTAAAAATCCTGTTGATCCTCTGTCTTCAATGGTATGTCATTAAGAAGAAACGGCACTGCAGCGCACCTAACAGTGTGGCATGCAATCTTGTGTGATGCAGGAATGCAGGAACTTGTGTGGAAACATAGATGCATAGATGTGAACAAGGGCTAAATAACTCCAAAGAATGACTCCAAAGACATGCTGCTAGTATGGTCTCTTTCACACAGGTTGTCTGCTTGGGTCACAAGATGGAGGAAAAAACTGGACAGACATGGATTTCACAATGGTGACATCCAATCCATACGTTCCATTCAAGATTGGATCTTTGCATGGATTCCCTCCTGATCAACCTGTGTGAAAGGCGCCTATAACTGGCTCCTGTCTGAATTGGCCCTAGTATGTGTGTGTGTGTGTGTGTGTATGTACAGTAAGTATAGCTGATAGGAACCCTAGATTCTAAGCAGGGGTGTCAAGGGGCTGGGTGTCACCCGAAACGGGTACCGGGTGACATCCCGCCGTGATGTCATCACACATGCGCGTGACGTCATCACACACGTGCATGATGACGTCACGCGCATGCACAGCCATCTTGATGGTACCTGCCGGTGGCCATCTTGGTGATGGACGCTTGCAGAGAGAGGAGGGGACGTTCACCCGGCGGGATAAGGTATGCTGCTGGGTCCCCTCCTCTCTCGTAAAACTGTCGGGCTCTTGGTCCATGACCAAGTGCCCGACTTTTCAGAGAGGGTGACACCAAAATGACTGTCAGACATTTTTTTCAATCGATCGATGGAATTTTTTTTCCGATCGATCAGATCTGGCAGCCAATGAGCTGCCCGCTCTGATCGGTTATTCTGACAGCAGCCGGCGGCACCTGTCAGATTACAATGTAAACAGCAGGATTCCTCGATCGACATGCGGCTTGTGTTGATGGAGGAATCGGGTTAATATTTTTCATTCAGATTGCCGGGTTGAACAAAAAAAATTTATCGGTGTATGGCCAGCCTAAAGTGGATGGAAAAATGTCAATCAGATGCAGTCACTGTTTGGGTATTCTGACAACCGTGGAGCCAGCAATAGCCAGCAGTGGAGATTTGTCCATCCACACTGTTGGAAATTCTTTACACGTATGGCCAATTTAAGACAAGCAAATAGATTATGTTTCCAGGCAAAAGCATGCCTATAAAATGCTGCAAATCCTGCATTGCACAAAATAGACAAATCTTTTTGCAACGCAGAGTGTGAATCCAGCTCCGATCCCTCAAAAACTTGCCTTGAAAATTGCTTGGTTAGCTTTTATTGAATTAGCTTGACTAACTTCTTCTCTGCAAGTTAATCTATGCATGAGGTTTCTCAGGGAACTTTGACCTGCTCAGCCAGGCATGGCTATGAGGAAGGGAGGGTCCAGCATTAATTAGGTGAACTTCTTTTGGAAGCTGTTAACTTTCAAGGTCTGGCAGGAGTTTCACATGCTGGCAAGCAGTCCCCTCTGCCTCCCTGTGTGAGGCCTCCGTGTATAAACACCCTCCGGAGAGCCAGAAGTGAAAATGTTGAGACTGCTGAGCAGCGATGACTACGAGGTGGGCACCAGGATCAAAGGGGTCACTTCACGCACCCTCTTCACGCTGGCCGTTGGGGCAATCGGATTTCTGCTCTTAGGATTCATCATAGGTAAACATTGACTGCTACTCTATTGCATAACTGCGAAGAAAGGACTGTCTGTCTAGATTTTATAAAAATCTCAAAGCGTTAACTAATTCGGCATTCATGGGCACAAAGTGTTAACTTATTCAGCAATAATAGGCACAAAGTGTTAACTTATACAGTGTTAATGGGTGCAAAGTGTAACGCTAATGCAGCATTAATGGGCACAAAGGCCATCCCTAAATCACATTGTTTGTAATTTAATGCCCAAAAGACATGGGCCCATACAAGTGCAATTGGTGCTTTTGTTTACATTCAGCTTGTCTGCAGTCTGCACTGTACAGTGTAGCGGGCAGCATACTTCAGACCTGGGTGGAGAACAAAAAAAAGAAGGTGTCTAGGTCAGGCGTGTCAAATCCAAACTTACTAAAGGGACATGCTGAGGGCTGTGAACAAAATCAGGGGCCGGACATAAAGAAGAAAGAAAAAAATTAATCATGCTGCTTGCCACGGTGCAAAGCTCGAGCCTAGTAATCATTATATGACGGTCCTGGTGTTTTGTGTGTAAGGGCACTACAAGTGTCACACACAGGACACCAGGATTGTCATATAATGGGCAGGAACTGCTGACACTTGTAGTGCCCTCACACACAGGACACAAGGACAGTCATATCATCATTATAAGACAATCCTGGTGTCCTGTGTGTGAGGGCACTACAAGTGTTAGCAGTCCCTGCCCATTATATGACAATCCTGTGTGTGAGGGCACTACAACTATCAGCAGTCCATGTCCATTATATGACACTCCTGTGTGTGAGGGTGCATTAAATGGACAGGGACTGCTGACACTTGTAGTGCCCTCACACACAGGACACCAGGATTGTCATATAATGATAATATGACTGTCCTTGTGTCCTGTGTGTGAGGGCACTACAAGTGTTAGCAGTCCCTGCCACTTATATGGCACTCCTGTGTGTGAGGGTGCATTAAATGGACAGGGACTGCTGACACTTGTAGTGTCCTCACACACAATCAGTCCTGGATACACCAGTTGCTGCTGAGACCAGAGGCAGAGGCGTGTAGGAAACCTGCGGCCGAGGACAAAATGTGCGGGCAAGAAGAAACCTGCAGCCCAGGAGAGAAGTGCGACAGAGGAGAAAGGTGGAGGTGTGGGGTCCTAAGAGGGTGGCCAGCTGAATTGGCGCTCCTACTAAAACACAGCTCAGGACTAGTGAGCCTGAGAAAATCTTGTGGCGGGCCGATTCTGCCCTGCTGTGATCTAGGTTTATGCAGATGGCTGTGTGTGAAATCCCATAGGCTTGGCTAAACGTATGCAGGGGTTGTTTCTCCAGTGATTTCAGGAGTGCAGTGCGTTATAGCAATCATAATATAGGTTAATTTAGGGCTCATTAACACCACTGTTCTGCAGTACCTTTTGTCGCGAATGACACCCCAAAATACCTTACCTAGATCTTATGTTGCAGCAGAGCACAACGTAGGATAAGGCACTACATTGCATTGCAGTGGGCTTCATAAGCAAAAATGCTACAGGAACAATTTTTGGTCTGTTGTGGTTCGTCAGGGAATGCATTCAAATGAGCAGTGTAACCGTAGAAAAAAATAAAGTATTACATCCGTTTGTCGGGCACTGCTATTTTGGTATGTACTTTTTCGAGCTACAATGAGGTGACACAATGTTTAAGTGTGAACAGGCGCCATTTAAAGTAATGGAATACTGTATGTTGCGCTTTGCCGCACTTCGGCATTCAGAATGGGTCCTTAGAGTAATGCACAGCTTTGTGTTACATGCATACTTATGGAGTGAGCTTTTCCGGTAAACCACACCAAAGGCACAGAACGCAGACAAGCTGAATGTAAACAAATCAATGTTCAAAGCGGACCCTAAGGCATGGTTCACACCTGGGCGTTTTGTAGCGCGTTCGAACGCTCTGCAAAACGCTCAAACACCGAAATCCCATTATTTCCTATGGGTATGGTTCACACCTGAGCGTATTACAGGCCGAATGAGCGCACTACAAAACGCCCTGTGCCCAAAGAAGTACAGGACACTCAAAAATCAAATTCTACTACAGCTGTTACTAACCGATATTTGTATGTTTTACATTTCAAAAAACCTAATAAAACATATTGAAGAGAAAAATCTAATTCTACTAATGCATCCCTCTATTTATGACATTTAATAATAACACAGACATGTCAGGTGTAAAATGTTGTGATTATGAAATACTTAGGGCTAGTTCACACCAAGTGCATTCCAGGAGAAGAGCAGTTACAGACCGGATCAAAACTACGTCCAATGTATTCCAATGGTATTTCGGGCTCTAGTTCACACCGCAGCGTTCAGTTCCAGAGCATGTAAAAAAAACTGCAGCAAGCCCTATTTTACCTGCTCTGGAACGCAGGCAAATGCATAAAAAACGCATGCAAACGCCCTGGAACGCCCTGAAAGCCCATTTTAAACTAAATATATATTTATTTTTTTTACCAAAAACGGCCCGGAACACATCCAAAACGCGGTATAACACACTGTACTGTGTGTGCAGAAACTCATGCCGATCTGGTCTGCATTTGGTGTGAACAAGCCCTTACACTTGCAGAGCATTCACTTCCTGCTTTGAAAGGTGCAAATAACTTCAATTTGGCAAATGCGTATTTCTCTTTTCTTCACCAGTCTTCTGACAGTGGCCATGTTAACTAAGGGCAGATTACCAGCTCTCCTTTCACTTCCTGGATTTCTGGCACATATAGGACATGTGACCATGCACATCCTCTCAGGGGAGGGAAACGCCTTTCCCTTAGATCTCGTGAGATTACAGATGAGATTTCCCAGCAATGCTCTGCTGATGACAAGGCAATCCAAGTGTGCATTGCTTTGGCAAGCTGAAGTCATTTTGCCCTTTCAAAGCAGGAAGTGAATGCTGTGCAAGTGTAAGTATTTCACAATCACAGCATTTTACACCTGACATGTCGATGTTATTATTAATCGTCATACATAGAGGGATGCATGGGTAGAATTAGATTTTTGAGTGCAAAGGTCCGTTTTAAACTGAGTTCTAATTGGAAGAGTTGCTCTGCATTATATGGCCAGTTTCAGCCTTGTAAGAAGAAAGAGAAACACTTCATCCCCTGTAGATGTTACCAGTATATCACCAAAAGTAAAAGGAACACTGCACTGAACTTAAGGCTATTGCAGGGCACTCCTGATATTTTACCTCAAGCGTGAGCAAGAAATGTGATTTTTTTTTTTTGATTTTTTTTTTTGATTTTTTTTTTTGGGGGGGTGGTGGGGATGGGGGGGAGTTCTGTTGCCATAGTTGCAAGGAAGCAATATTTGAATATTTTGGCAGTTTGTAAAGCTCCTAGAAGGCTACGGACTGAACTGAAAAGTCATTATTAAATAATTATTAAAGAAAATGCTACTTGATACATATGATCACTATGATTATATGTATCAAGTACCATTTTCTTAATAAGGCTTTGGAAATAACACATTATCGTATCTTATTGTGGTTGTATTTTATATGTAAATGTCTTGCCCAAACAGGATGGTTTGCAAAATCCACTGGACATTCGAGGGCTACTCCAGAAGTACAAAGCATGAGAAAAGCATTCTGGGATGAAATGAAGGCGGAAAATATTAAACAGTATCTACAGTAAGTCCTCTGAATTACCGTGACATCATTGCAATGTTTTGGCTTGTTGATTTTTCTTCAGTAAGCCACATGTAAAGAAACTTTACTCACACACACCTGCCATGCTCTCCTTATGTTCCACCAATTCGAGTGTCCTGCTCAGGCCCAGATTTCCCACAAGGCCACCGAGGCCCGGCCTCAGGGCGGCAGAGCGCCGAGATCCCCTCCCCCGCCGCCCTGCCATCTGGTTGCCATTCTCAATTGATGGGGAGGGGGGCTTGGCGGCGCGGGGGGCGTATTGTGGAACCTGGCCTTGGGGTGGCAGGGGGAGTAAATCCGGCCCTGGTCCCGCTGCCCCTACAGCCTTCTCCTCCCCTAGAAAATGTCGACCGATCCACTTAGGGAAAGGCTTTAGAGCCTGTGAACCAATCCAGCTAGGCAAAGATTTTGGAGACTGTAGACCGATGCACCTAGGGAAAGACTTTGCATACTGTGGACCAATCCACCTAGGGAAAGACTTCTGTGTGACAGACTAGTGCATCCCGCCCTATTTATCTTACTTGTTAGAAAGGCCACACCTCTCTTCATATACTGCACCTCCACCTCCACGTCTCCACTTTGTATAAATTATATGGGTATTGTGAGGATTCGCGCCAAACGGTAGCACATTAAGGACACCGCCACTCGCTTTTCACTTTTGAAGGCTTCTTTGCCCACTTTTATTAATTTCTAATTGAAAGAAACGTCCACACAGGTGTTCCCTCGCAGGGGTTTCCAAACACAAAGTATAATTTTCTTAAAATTTTTTTTTTCGTCTCACCGACTTCAGGTAAGTCCTTTAACCACTTCAAGACCAGGTGTTTAGACACCCTTCCTGGCCAGGCCATTTTTCAGTATTCAGCGCTGCGATTCTTTGACTGAAGTTTATTCCGTCATGCAACGCTGTACTGAAATTAATTTTATACCATTTTTTGGGGACAGATAGAGCTTTATTTTGGTGGTATTTAATCACCACTGGGGTTTTTATTTTTTACTATAATTAGGAAAAATTACAGAAAATTTTGAAAAACAAGTGTTTTTTTTTACATTATGTTAGGAAACATTTATTATTACCCAGTTTTTTGGTAAAATATAAAAGTCAGGGTCACGTCGGGTAAATAGACACCAAACATGTCAAGCTTTAAAATTGCGCGCACCCGCTAAATCGCAGAAAACTACCATACCCAAAATTGGCCTTGGGCGACACTTTAAAAGCTTTTACCGCTCATCAGTTTAGTGTTGTCAGTGATTGATGGCCCTAGACTTATTGCTCTCACTGCAACGTTTGCGGCAATATGTAACATGTGCGGCGTAATGGGCGCAATCGTCTTTTTTTACACGTATGCGCCCCGACGCATGTTTGCATGCGTGTATGTATGGGTGGGGACTTTTAAAAAATTTTTTGTTTTTTTATGTGTAACTTTTTTTTGAGGGGGGACTTAAATTTTGTTTTCCTTTTTTTTCTTTTTTTTTTACTAAACTTTATTGCTATCACATAGGGGGTTTTTATTAGCCCCCATGTGATAGCAAAATATGTGACAGGTCCTCTTTATGGAGACATCAGGGGTCTCCAAGACCCCTAATGTCACCTAGGACCCCCCTGAAGAAGCTGATGAAGCAGAGATCTGCTTCATCAGCTTCTCTCCAGCATCTGAAGCTGGAGAATGACACAAGAATGCGGAAGTGATGTAATATACAACACTTCCGCATTCTGACAGAGGAGAGGGGACCGGAGGGTGCTCGTGTACCGAGCTCCCTCTGATCCCCTGTGACACAGGCGACCTGCTGATCCCGGGCTCACACCGGGCACAGCGGAGCCTGGGATCAGTGGGACAACGGCAGGGGGGGGAACCGATCGGTACCCCATACACGCGATCCGCCGGCTCTACAGCGGATCGCTTGTATGGTAACCGGCATCGCTGCCTGTTTTTACATTTCGGCCGATTCCCGCGGGGGCGTGTCTGAGCGGACGTCTAAAGACGCTCACTCAGATCTACAGAGCTCCGGGCCGGCCGTTTTTTTTTACTACGGCCGGCCCGGAAGTGGTTAAAAAAAAACGTCTGGCCACACAGGCTGTATCCAAAACGCTAGCCACACCGGCTTGTCCTTTTTCCTTTTGCCACATAGGAGGACTGCCACACAGGCTGGCTCTTTTGCCACACAGGCGGATTGCCACACAGGTGGTCTGCTTCCCAGTCCACCAGACACACAGTCTGGTTCCAGGGTGGAGCTCCTTTCTTAGGAGGCTGGGAGTTCTTGTAGAAGCCCTAACAAGCCAGTTATCTTCAGCTGGGCTTGTTACCTCCAAGCCTCCAGCCCTCTCAGCACTTCCCCCTAGAGGGCAACCTTTTAGTAGAACACCTGAACCTGGCATATACTCTGCCATCCTGGCTAGACCCAGACGTTTTTATCAGCCTGCTGCCACAGTATGGACAATATACAAACTAAAACTGATTTTAATTCCTTCACATTTTGACCAAGAAATGCATCACAACGGTTCTTCAGTTGGCATAATGTGCAGGGAAGCATTAACGATCTCATGAATCTGAAACACAGCAGATCCCCCAAGAAACATAGATTTACTAGCTGTTCCTATGTCTGTTAACATAGTTCCTTTGCCTCTACAAGCAGTGGTTGTCCTTCTTCTTTTTTTTTTTTTTTTGCAGCTGTTGGAATTTATCAAGCCCTTGGAGCATGGGTGTTGCTAGATTCTAGTACCAAGTCGGCACTCTGTACTGGGCAGCATATTTGGAATGGCTGCTCAGTGTGAGAATGGACAATGCTGCACTAAAAGGAGGCTGAGAAGCCTCTCACCTAGAAAAGTGGAAGGCATGCGGCGATGCACTGAGCACGGGATCACAACCCACTTTTGGGTCACGACCCACCAATTGAGAACCAAGGTTCTATTGTATGCTTGTTTTTCTGTTGCCAGGACAATAGTCTACTGGATTTTGATGGTCCGGGACTGATATGAATAAGATTGTGTTGCTTGGAAAGTACTAGAGAGTAAGATTAAAGTACACCTATTTTTTCATTTTACAAGGATCTTTCATGTTTCATCCCCCTCTTTATGGCCTTGACAGGGGTTGGGGAGCATTTGAACGCTGCTCTTTTTCATCCAAATCAAATTATTTCATTTAGGATTGAGTTATTTGTAATCAGAAGGGCCCAAAACATTAGTTTCCTTTGACTGTTTGATGCTGTTTTTACAGTAAATATGTGAAACACATCTATGTGGATTGCTGATGGCTTTGTATCTTCTCATTTGGTTTTGGTACAGCACCATTCCTAGCAATTTCTACTTTAAGTTCTCACTGCTGTCTCCATATATGTTTGGGATCTTAACCGCTGTTCCTCAACCTGTGACTGTAGTCACTTGGAAAGGAAGTGAGGGAAAATCTCCTAAAAGGGAACCAGTCATTAATAAAACTCTGGAAGTGGTTTTAAACTGTTCCCAGGATATCCAAAGCTAAAAAACTTATTGACTGTAATTACTTTATGACAATGTTGACAATAGTATCCTCTTGAGCAAACCACTTGTGTGAGGCCCAGAAGAGGTCAGACAACCTGCACTCCGGAGCACCAACAAATGAAATAATTGCCTTGTCCTTTTGCCAGGTAAACAAGATATAAAATGAAACATTTTGTGATAATTTCCTGAATGTGATGAATAGAACTTGATGATTCAAGTACATAATGATTTGACAGGTTGTCGCGGTTTTAATTAATCATTTGAAAAAGATTTTACTTCTGTATAAATATTCTGAACAACCACTTCAGCAGTTGTATGTCCAGCATTTGCGGAATGGAGGATCAGTATGCTGTGTGATTTTTATTGGACAAAAGAGACATATAACTTTTGTGAAGCTTTGTAACTTTGTGAAGTTAAAAGTGAAGCTCTCTTTAGGAAACAAAAACATAGCATTGCTACCGTATCTACTACATACTGTAGGTGTCAAGAATGGAAGTAAATTTGATTCCAGATGCTTAACTTATCTAAAAAAAAAAATGCAGGAGCTACTTTGAGGCGGATCCAGCTTGGTTTCAGTCCCATAGCCTAGTATTGAAATTGTGCACATGCATGTGCGTTTTTTATTAGTGATAACCGCGCGGTTTACACAGCATGGAGGGAGGACCTCCGCCTGTCACACAGCACACTGGAATCAAGATGGAGGACTCAACACTGAACCACATGTCTACTTAGGACTTCATTAGACTGGTCCAGGCCCAGGTCTGCCTCTATGATCAGAGGCATGCAAACTCGAAGAGGATGGGCAGTCGCTAGGGTTGCCACCCATCCGGTTTTCACTCAGACAGTCTGGTTTTGTTGTGTCCGGGTGCCCAGCCAGATCCCTATGCAGCTGAAGAGGCATGAATTGGCGGGGTTACACAAATAGCCGAGCAGCGGGGGGAACAAAGTTTTAAAGGAGAACATAATTCGACACACCGGCTCCCTGACATGGTGCTGCCCGCCTGAGGTCCGCCTGGTGAGACACCATGGACCAGACAGCACCGAGTGTCGCATAGCCCACCCGAGTGTCGTACAGCCGGCACAAACCACCAGGCCACCTGAAGACATCAGGGCTCCAACCCAGAACAGCACAGAGTATGTAGCTTCACATTATTTTGTATTGCTGTATAATGTATTGCTGGGTTTTGTAGCTCTCTGTAGCTGGCTCCTTACTCCCTCCCCTAGCTGCCTCTCCTCACCCTCTCCTCTATATTCTCCCCCCGCAAAAATAGCCGAGCGCGGTGCTAGAGTGTTCTGGTTTCACTTGAAGAAAAGGTGGCAACCCTAGCAGTCGCAGGAGTGCCTGGCAGACCATTGGTGCACAAATATGGAGCAATCGGGATGGTTTTTCCCCATAAATTAAAGATGCCAAAAGTAATGTGTGCTTGTCAATTGTTTCATGTTTTTTCCTTTTTTAAATGGTAATTTGGTCTCTACTGATTTCAAGTCTTGGTCTCTCACACTTGTCATAGCTTCTATTGTAAAGCAATAACCAACACTCTCAAAATGCTCAAATGCATTATAAGCAATCGGATGAAGAACTGTATATACAATAATTGCCCTTGGGAAATTGGATGAATCATTTTTCAGGTAGACTGCACTCAGGGCCGTTGCTGGACTATTTTGCGCCCTAGGCAAGACCAGCTACTTGCACCCACATGCCCTAGGCAAGACCAGCTACTTGCCCTAGGTGGCAGCACGCCTCAGGCGGCTGCCTTGTTTGCCTAGTTTCGTGCCGGCCTTGACTGCACTTACTTTTGTGTGGCTGAACCTCATAGCAGTTGTGTGGTCTGCTGTATCTCTAAATCGCTTACACCCTGTGAGCAAATTATGCCATCTTCCTTTTTATAGCCTTCTTAAACCCAAACATTTTTATATATTTCAGCTTACCAGTCCTTAGATGAGGTGGATACATAAGTTTTTTTTTTAATTTTTTCATTTCTTTTTTTTTGCTTTTTATTTTTCACCCGGTGATCCTGCCAGTAACACACATCCTATCCTAGATGACAATGCTTTCCATACTGTATTTGTGGAGGAGCAGTGTTGTCACTCTAGAACATGACTACAGAATAACTCCCTCTCCTTTTCTTCTCCATAACATCCATGTTGTAAGAGTGGATGGGGGAAATCTAGCGGTTTTTTTTCTTGTTGATCCATTAGAGCGTGGGGCAGCTGCAACATGTCATGCCAGTTCTAATCATCGGGGAGAATATATTTTATTCTACCTGAACTTCCCCTTTTAAACTGTTCCCCATCCTATATAAAAACTAAAAAAAAGAAAATTGGTTGCAGTTATGCTATTATTGTTATAAAAATGTTTCCATAGTTACTTTTTGATAAAGAAAAACATTTTTACAAGGATGTCAGGAAATGATTAGAATACACAATAGGAAATAAATATAATTCTTGCATCTGCGCCTGTTATGTGTAATGAAAGAAAATCTCCTAATATCTCATAATTACCAGTAACGTTCTATTCCATGTGAGTCAAGTCACCTTAGCTGTATTTATTAACCGTCACGCAGTTGATGACTAACCGAACCAGACTGGCAATTAATGTTTGTAAATGAGCTGGGTAAAATGAATATATTATTAAGCAATGCAACCTTATTCTGAGGTCAGAGCACGTATAATGCCGTTAGTTGTCCTTTACTAATAAACGAGGGTCCTTTTTGGGAATGAATAATAGGCATCTCTACTAACAGCAGGCGTGGGTCAAAGGTGCTACTGAAATCTCAGCAAGGAGCTCCTATTTATCTGATCTTTTTTTGAAGATGCTGATATATTTTTACTAAAATGAGGACAATTTTCTTGTTTTGGAAAACAACTATATGATACGTAGGTACCTGAGTTTTCTTTAAAGTCTTAAAATGAAATAAAACACTTTTGGGGGGAAAGTCTTTTAATGACACCCAAACTTTTCATTACATTGAGAACATTTCAACATTTAAAGTGTATGTAAACCAATGTGGAATCCACGCATACCATGCAGAAAGGATTTTTTTTAATCTTAAAGGAGAACTATGGGGTCAGTGTTTTTTCCTCATAGTTCTCCCCAGGGTCACGGGAGGACACAAACTAGCGTCCTCCCATGACCCAATGCTCAGTATACCGCAAGCTACAGCTCACGGTATACTGAGACCGCCGCAGCCGGGATGGATCCCGACCTTACTGTCGAGATCCACCCAGCTTCGTGATTGACAGCTGGCTCTGCCTATCTAGAGGCAGAGCCAGCTGTACCCGCCCCCTCACCCGTCTGTTTCGCCAGTCAGCGCTGGAGGATTGGACAGGAGAGGGAGGGAATCCCTGTAGGGTACTGTGAGTGACAGTCACGGCTCTCTGCAGGGACAGGATCGAGAAGTGAGCGAGCGACGGTATGTGTTCACTCCCGGATCTATTGAGCCGACGTGTGACAGTTTAATTGTCACACGTCAGCTCGAACTATGAGGCTGGGTGATTTTCACTCACTTCATAGTTGTCCTTTAAGCAGGGACGTGCGGTGAGTTCAGTGGTAGTTGAGGTACCCCCCCAGCCTGCCACCAGCCTGGTCACCAAGCTATGGGTGGAGGAGACAGAGAGGAGACTCCCTTTCCCTCACTTACTCATCACTGATGAGGCATCTAGATGAATGCCATTGATGTTGTTTGTTTTTTTTTGTTATTGGACGGCTTTGACCCATGGCGCTTTGCCATTGGTCCAAACCATCCGCAGAGCTCAAGCCTCTGACTTCAAGTTAGAGGCTGTTGTAGCTCCGGCCTCACTGTGCTAGGTTACACACTGCTGTGTTGTAGCTGTGGCTTCCTCCAAAGACCATAACACACAACGGGGGATGAGATTTCTGGCAAACCCTGCCACAGTTGCTGACTCTAGAAGGAATAAAGCTGTGCCTTCTCCCCAGCCTATTGGCTGGACAGTGAAAGAGCAGTGGAAGACTTATGAGGTTACTTCCCTGCTCACCCTGCTCTTTTCTCCTATTAGCTTGTTCTTTGTCAGCATATTTGCATGCAGCACATCTAATTGGCTCCCAATCTTACCCCTCCATCTTCCAGTCTGAAAGCTGATTTGTAGGTGATTGGATCATATCCTGTGTTTTTGTTTTTTTTATATCCATTTAAAATTTAGCTTTAAAATCTGACCAGACAGAAAAAAAAAAACCTTTTACTTCTAGGCTCTGGTCATTTGTTTTGCCTCTTTAATGCCCTTCTTCACATCGCTCTAAATTTGTAATTTCACGTTTGTTTTATTCTATAAAACTGATTGCAATCTCTTATATGTCTCATTTCTATACAACTGATTTTACTGGTCACTGGGAGCATTTGTATGTTCTCTAGTTTCCACCCTTTTATGCTATTTTTGTAACTTTTATTTTATGCTACAGGAGATGATGGTATTAAATAATAATAATTTTCACTTTAAATAATTCTGGTGTGCAGCCAATAACTACTTCTTCCTTTTTTTTTTTTGCAGCAATTTCACCCAAGTTCCCCACTTAGCCGGTACGGAGGAGAACTTGCTTCTAGCCAAGCAAATCCAAGCCCAGTGGAGAGAATACGGACTGGATAAAGTGGAATTAGCATTCTATGACATTCTCTTGTCATACCCAAATGACACAAATCCCAACTATATCGCCATTATTGATGAACAAGGCGCAGAGGTAAAATGCACAGGAAGACGGAGTAAAACATTATAGCTATAAAACTCTTCATTTAAATAGGAGAACTCCAGAAGTAGGACAGTCATGCTACATTTGTAGATCAGGGCAGAGTAAGTGTGACAATATGCATTAGACTTTCATCCATGCCACCAATCCAGAGATCTGTATTCTACATACAAGTTGCCACTGCTGGCTTTGTAGCAGGCAGGTTGTGGGAAAGATCCCAACAAATATTCTTCCTACAAATACTTTTATGCATGAGGCTGATGTGCCAAAGGGCAACGGTGCAGTAATTGGTAGTAACCAATCTGTTTTCAGCAACTTTGCCCAATAACACATTTATAATGTAGTGCATATTCCTATACATCGCAAAGTTAGTCCACACAATGGCCTGCATTTTACAGCCCATTCATAAAATACAGGCCATGGTGTGGAGCCTATGGTCAGACATTGAGTACTTTCTGCTTAATCTGGCAAACAAACTTTGTGATTTAAAGGAGAGGTCGTTCACATTACTTTTTTTTTCCCCTCACTCCTATTCATTTGAATAGCTTTCTTTTGACTTCTACAACCAGGAGAGGGCTATATGCATCACTGTGCTTTAGAAATGTGCCTTTTTTTTATTGTATAAAAGTATAACGCGGAATGTTATGGTGAGGAGAAGGAACAATTTTCACTTACTATCCTGAAATGAGGAATAATCATCTTATTTTTGTCATATGTGCTGAAATGAAACATACGAATACCTTCTGTTCTAAGAAGGCAGTACTGTGCTACGCATTAGTTCTGTGGGGATTTTAAACTCTCTTAGTTCTTTCTCAGCATAGACTTTTGTGTTTTCTTGTTGATCTCCAAGCCCTACTCTATAGAAGCCATGGTTTTATGCACTGCATGGCCATAGCTGTATGCAGCTTGGAATGAATGGCTCTATAATATTAGGCTCTATCGGTAGTATACACCAGCAGTTCTGGATGTACAGTTAAGAGAACTATGGGGTAACCTCTTTATCCCATAGTTCTCTTTAGAGTCACAGGAGCACATATACTAACCTCCTCCCGTGGCCCAAAGCTCAGTATATAGCGGGACGAGGGAGCATGGAGCCGGCTTCCCGGCCAATCAGGAAGCCGGTCAGCTTGCAATGACTTGCTCCCCGGCTTCCTGATACCGGAAGTATCGGGCTAGGCATCAGAGCATTTGGTCGAGTACTCGCCCAAATACTCTGCATCAGCACCAATACTAGTATCGGTATCTGTGCATCCCTACCTATTACTATACATACACACAGAAAATAGAAAGCCAAACACTCTCCACCATTAAAGGAGAACTATGGGGTTAAGTCTTTTCCCCATAGTTCTCCTTAGGGTAACGGGAGGACACAAACTAGCGTCCTCCCATCACCCTGAGCTCAGTATACCGCAAGCTACAGCTCGCGGTATACTGAGACGCCGCATTATACCGCCCCTCCCCTGTCACAGCAGAGAGCCGTGACAGGATCGAGGGGTGAGCGAACGGCGGTATGTGTTCGCTCACCTCCCGATCTACTGAGCCGACCTGTGACAGTCTCATTGTCACAGGTCGGCTAGAACTATGAGGTGAGTGAAAAGCACTCGCCTCATAGTTCTCCTTTAATTTGTATGCTTTGTTTTATTAAAGTAGATCTCTGGGGAAAACAATTCTTAACCCTTGCAGTGGGGCTAGCCCCATACTGCAAAAGTTAAATGCTCATTTGTGTCTAGGTTAAAAAAAAGTTATACTCACCCGGTCCTCGGAGCCAGCCAGCTGACAGCACTCCCTCCAGCCTGTCTGCTACTTCACTGCAGCAATGGCCTGTCCCTTGGTATCCTCACACCAAATATACTGTCTATAAAACATGATGACTCAAGGATCCTTAGACAGCTGCAGCGGAGGGGAAGAGAGGCTCAAGGGACACGGTCTAACAGACAGACCGCTCCGAGGAACGGGTGAGTATACATTTTTTTTTAAACCTATACACAAATGAGCACTTAACCTTTGCAGCGCAGGGGTAGCCCTACTGCAAGGGTTAAGAATTGTTTTCCCCGGAGTTCTGCTTTAAGAGAAGAGTGGGACATTCACCCGACGCTTCATGAGCCAAACATCAGAACAGTTAACTTTTCCTATGATCATTTCTTCAACTGATGCGGTTGTTCTATTGACCTTTTTAAATGTGACTTTCACAATTAATCAGCAGAGAGATAAATGCAGACGATAGATTTAGCCACGTTGATGGATAGCGGCTGGACAAGGTCTGAAAGTCTCTTTTTTTGATTTCACCAAGTTCCATTAAACATAAAATGCAAAGCGGGCATATTTTCTAATTAACATTCCAATAACATAAGTAGGAGACAAAGGAGAAACCTCAACTAGGGTGCTAAGAATAAAAAGCTGCATTAGGGACAATCTGAACAAATCTCTATAATGAATGTAACATAAAGCAAACTTAGACTTAAAAACTAATACATTGGAAGCTCTCTGTAGTGTAGGCCCCTCTAGGGCTTTGACTGCTTTGACCCACCTTCCTCAGCCTATTGCATTTTCCTATTGGTTGATAGGGCTATCCATTAGAGTTTTGAACTAATCGGTTGGGCAGGAGAATGTAAGTCTGAGCATTAAACCCCAGAACAAAAATGGAACAATGTTACCAGTCCTTACATTTGGCTGCATTAGTTTTTACTTTTTCAGGCCAAGCACATTTTTAGGAAGTATGAAACAATACCCACTGAACCTGCCTAAGGGCTTGTTCACACCACATCTAGTGCGTTCCAGCACGGTTAGTGGCCAGAATGCATTGGATCCCATAAAGCAGGCCTCCCTGTGTTCTGGGGTGGGAGGGGACGTGGCGGTGCCATTATTAATTATTATCAATGGCACCGCAGCCTCCAACCCCCCCCCAACCACCCACAGTGCGATTGCATGCACCACAACGTGTGGCACATCAATGCCTGCACTATTTTTTCCGACCGCACCGGACAGAGGGTATTGCGGGGG